GTGACAAGCCTGGAGCCCACACTTTTTTTTTTATACGAATGTCGTAAATATGCCACATATGAAAAAAAAAATGAAAATAGAATTGTTTTCGATTTTAATAGCTGTTAAAAAAAAAAAAAAGTGAATTTTATGCAGTTTTATTTACAACACAGCGACCCACCCCATCTACAACATCCCTTCTCCTTCTGTCGGAGATCTCACCCCGGAAACAACCCTTCAATGGAGAAGAGGTTTAGGATTTCATTGCAGAAGCATTTGTTGGAGAAGGCTTTACCGGATGCGGCGGCGCCGCGGAGAGCTGACCTAGATAGATAGATTCGAACCTGCCATTCTCGATTTTACATTTCGGGTTGATTGGTTTGTTGAGGATCCGAGCTTTTCGCATGTGAAAACTAGGTCAAGGATTCTACGCGAAAAGGGTGGGTCGACGATTCGACGGAAAGAGGTGAAAGTGGTTGCTCAAAGTTTGAATGGGTGGTGGTGATGAAGAAAGGAGGAGATGGAAGTGGTTGCTTAGGTGGGAGGGGAAGAAGAACATGAAGTCTTTTCAAATTAATAAAATACTTTTCTCAACGTAATAATTAATTTTTTTTCTTAATTTGTTTTTTCCACATAGCACAATGGTGGCAGCTATTTCATCACTTAACGGTTAATTTAACAGATGTTTTAATAGATGTCTAAAATTGTAATTAAATACTAGTTTTGGTATGAATATTAATGTTTTAAAGATGATGTATGAATTTGCAATTGCGCCCAAACTTGATGGTTCAAAATGTTATTCATTTTATTACCATAAGGAGGTTATTACTTAATAGATGTGTAGTTATAAAAGTATTATTATTTACTTAGTTATCCTTAAGGGAATTGTTATTGGCACTCCAAAATTCTCATTCACACTCCAAACATTCTATATTTAGAAAGAAAAATATACTTGTGAGGAGTGTAGAATGAGATTTTAAGAGTGCCAATAACACTTCCTATCCTTAATGATAGTTTTGTAGATACAAAGAACAACTTTTCTAGCAAATTCCAAGTTTTAAACATGAGAAAAAGAGTGACATCTAATTAATCTCTAAAAGCATACCGAAAGTTTCATGCCAAGAAGTTGTATACATGCTTGAAAAGTTTGTAACATTTTGGCATCAACAAGAAAGTGCTTATGTGGAAGATCTATTATGTACCCTCAAGCTCAAATAGATGACCTCATCTCTAAAAAATAATATTGTCCTAAAGAAATTGAGAGAAATATTTTAGTTCATCTTAAACTTTTATTTGTGACATTGCATAGTTTTGGATTTGTTAACAATTATTACTATGTAGAAGCAAATTTCTTTAATGGGCACTTAGAAAAAATATAACTTATTATACTATGAAGTTTGTTTCTATACATAACGGGGTCCAAATTGGGATCTAAATATTTTATTATTATAAAGAGGTTATTCCTTATAGAATATTACTATAAGAGATTTTACTCTACTAATAGCTCACACATGCTCAAAAGATTACTAGTGAACATGTCATATAGTAAAGTTCACATACATCAACATTTCACGCGTCCATCCGCAGACCCTACCATTCTTCTTCTACCGAAATTAATTACTCTATGTTGGATAAAGAAGTAATTACAATCTGATAAGACATGAGAATGCATCACCGAAATATATACATATTATGAAATGATTGGGAAAAGACAAAGGAGGCGCTTACCTAAGCAAACACTAATTGCATCACTTTGCATGCTTGATGCTTCCTTCCACCTTAATTGGTACTCTTTGTATGACTCATTCATTTGATGCACCGCATAGAGAACCCGTATAGGATGAGTACATCGTCATATAAAATTTTGTATTAATAATACAAGATGTATGTTAGTTTTTTGTGTATGTTATTAGCACAGGATACCACCGTAGAAGTGAACTCATATCATAGAAGTTGTTCTAGAAGCTTGAATGTTAAATAAATGCCACAAGTGTAAATCCGTAGTACATATTACCTGCAACTGATTCCGTGCTTATAAACCTACGGAATGAAGCAGTCTTAGTCAACTTCTTTTCTGTAACCTGGCAACATTTCCATCGTTCTTTCCCTTTTAACCCTAAGATCAGGCCGATTCACTCAGAAGCTTTTGCAAGCCACTTCATCAGGTGTTCCCGTACAATGTGTCCCGAGCAAGTACTACATCAAAAGTCTTTGTGTTTTGTTGTATGTGATACAGCCCACAGCCTACAAACAAAGCTGGAACACACCCTCTCAGCCGAGTCAGAAATTCTGTGAATGATAGTAAAACTACGTGACACGTTAATGATAAAACTTTTCCTGCACTGGTTTGCACAAAATTGGTGTCACGGGTGAATTATTATTTTTTTTTCTATGTTAAATTAACCCTAAACCTAATATATATGTATACATGACTGGTTGTATACTGATTATAATCTCAATAAATTTTGTAACGATATCTTGATATGTCAAGTGATATAATCATCACAAATAATAATTTTGCTTTCTAATCGAGGGAGGCACCCTCCATAGCTACTAGTTATTGTCCGTACAACTTGAGTGCTTGAATTTCCATGTGTGAGGTATGATTCCACTAACAAGAACTCAAGTTGGGATCCAAGTACGAAAGCACCCACTGGCCATTTGTTTACACTAATTGGTTTCCCCATTAGCTCATTTCGTGGCAATATGTCATGGTTCAATTCAATAGTACTCATGCATTTCACAAAACGTGCCATCCACGCCTTTTATCATTTTGTAATAATTCTGTTTCAACATATACTTGGTTGTCTTAGTTTTAGACACCAACCCACTCGTTCAAATAATATTATTATTAATGGAAATATTTTCCTTTTTTAACTTTAGATTTCGTACCTTTCGTCTCGCCTTCGTCATATTCTAGCATCTAGATCATTAAAACAGTAAAAGAAGAAAAATGAAATAGTCTTTATGTTGAATATTTGTGGTAAGGAACTTTTTGAGCAAAATTATTTTATATAATTTTTTTCTTTTTCTTTTTGACCAAACGATATTATCTATACTAAGGATGGAGGAATGAGTTTAAGCCTCACAATGAACTAGCTATTTTATATAATATTTAAATCATGAAAACCATGCGAATATTCAGAAACTGGAGGCATGAGGTTTCGAACCTCTTCCCTCCAGGTTGAGAGTGTTTGCTTCAAGGCAATTCTTGACAACAGATTTTGTGTTATGCTGGCTTCAAAATCATAAAATGCAAAAGAAAACATTGATGAAAGAATGAAAGGAGAGGCTTCAGCTTCATCTTGCACGTAATGCTATGCTTGAAATACCACATTTTTTCACGTTTAAATACATGTGAGTTTGTTTATGTCTGCTTTATTGTACTTGTTATCTTAAAATAACCCATAAAATATGTTATTCATATCATATTTTTGTACTACATTTTTGTATCACATTAGGTGACATTTGATGTGGACAACCACATCATTTGAATTAATCAGAGTTTTAAATTTAGTTCATTATTTAATAAATTAATAATTAAGAAAAACTAGTTAATTAAATGATGATTATGGCATACGAGAAGTCTTTCTCCTTCATTTCCTTGGGTTTTGTAAATTTTTCAAATGATGTCGCTATCCACATCAGATGTCACCTAGATGATTGTAGAAATATGGTATAAAAACATGATATGATAGCGTCACTCTTGCTGAAATACCTTCAAACTTTTCTCAAACAAATTCCATTAATGAAAGTTGCCTAAGAAACTGGACCAAGTACCACGTCGGCAAGCTGCCGAAGTATAATCTCGAACAAGCTTACATTACATATATAACATATAATTACAACTTATACTTATCATCCATTTAAAGCCATTCAAAGGGCTCTTATATGATTATAAAAGAACGATGGAATATGGATATATAATATTATATATGTTAATTAACATACTATAGGAGTACCTTTTTTTTTTATGAAAGGAATTGGATTGCATGTTTCGATTACCATTCATGATGTTTCAAGATGATTTGATCTCTTAAAAAACTTGATTAATTTAGTTACTGACATTTCGTATCGTCCACTGATCTTATGCCAAGTTACATTCACACTTAACTCCCAAGAAGATAGTGAGTTCTCTTGGCCATGTCTTTAAAGTGGTGGCCACTCTTATAAGCACCCATATGTACAAACACCACCACACTATAAACCTCTTGCATACCTCATCATGCAACACCACTATACTCTATATTTGTTTGAGGGGTCATTGAGTCCCCCACTTTCCACAAACAAGCCAAAAATAAGAGAAAAAAAATGATCACATATAATTCATATGAAAACTTATACTGAATCACATTGTGAATGCTGACAATATTCAATTTGTACATCCAAACTTTTCTCAACTAAATTTTTGAAGTTAACAAACACATGAACAAATTAATTACAGTTCTAGTAACATATATAAGTATTTCCATAATTTTTGTTAGAAATAACAAAATATGTATGTGTATATATATATATATATATATCTATCTATCTATCTATCTATCTAAATAACAATCATATATAATGAACTTTCAACTTTAGATTGATTTTGATGTACAAAATATTGACTTCGTCTAAAAGAAATTGTAAGAAAAGTGGAAACCATTGGAATTACTAGATATATTTCATTAACTAACCCTCATTTAAGATGGATTGACGCGTTAAATCCTCCCATCCCATGGATTGGGAGTTCAGTGATTGAATAACGTACGTAGGCAACTTTTTCAGTTGGGGGATCCAAATTTCTACTTATTGGATGAATAGGCCCCCAATATAAAAATAACCCCTCATTTCGTAGAGTAGGAATCCACATAAGAGTCTACAATGACTTTAATTTCTTGAAATAGGTTGTTTATTGCTAATGGATAAGATAATCCAAAGATTAGTGCTTGGACATGTAGACAGTAGAAACAGTTAGGTTTATCTTAATTATTTTTGCCTTTTGCGTTCTCTATAAAAAGGCATGTTCTCGTTTTAGTGTTGACATGCAAGCATAGAAGAGAAGTACAAGTAAATCATACAACAAGCTTAGACAAAGAGTGTGTGTTTGACATAGAGAAATTAAGATGGGAGACCAAATTGCAAATGGAAAATTGAGTCTCTTTCTTTACAAGATAAAGCCTTACGTGGCTATGGTTTCTTTGCAATTTGGATATGCAGGAATGTATATTATCAGCATGGTTGGTTTGAAGCGTGGAATCAATCACTTTGTTCTTTCTGTGTACAGGCATTTGATTGCCTTTGCTGTTATTGCACCATTCGCACTTGTCCTTGAAAGGTCTCTCTATCTCACATATATGCACGCACGCATGCATACATACATACATACATGCATGCATACATACATACATATATATGTGTGTGTGTGTGTGTGTGTGTGAACTTTTTTACCTAATTAAATTAATTATGTATGTTGTTACTACTTGAACTTATTGTTTAATTCCAACTCGTTTTACAGGAAAATAAGGCCAAAACTGACTCTGGGGATCTTCCTAAGAATAATGGTGCTTGGTTTTCTCGAGTAAGAATATGTCGATCTAATTTGTTGTATATACGCAATACCCCGGAAACACAATGAATTTTGATTTTGCATGGCTAGATTTTAAGTTATTAGCTTTTGCATTTTGAAAGCTAATCATGATTTTCATGTAATGGTCACTTCCTGCAGGCCTGTTTTTGCTCAGAATTTGTACTTTGTGGGAATGACGTACACCTCAGCAACATTTGCATCTGCCACTGCTAATATCCTCCCCGCCATTACCTTCATTTTTGCACTTATTTTCAGGTAAATTTTCATAGCCGATCATTACATAATTCTTATCACAATCGTCTAGGGCATCACGCAGTAGCAATGTTAATTACATATACAACGTACATCTGTTGGAGCGTTTGTCACAAGAAGAAATACAAGTAGTTATTTATTCAAATTATTAATATGCACTAACTTGGTCATTATCCCATTGTTTAGGTTAGAAAAAATCAATTTCAAGAGGCTGCCTAGTGTAGCAAAGGTGATCGGGACTGCAATCACAGTCGCAGGAGCGATGGTGATGACGTGGTATAAAGGGCCCATCATTGAACTTATAAGTGGACAATCACGAAGCCACCACACCAGCACCGCATCCGGTGAACAACATTGGGTCACCGGCACCATGATGCTCCTAGCCCGTTCTTGTGGTTGGTCCGGTTTCTTCATTGTACAAGTGAGTATACAGCAAGTCCAAATCCTTTGCTGATATTATACTTCAGTCATTTCATGGAGAAACCCTAAACCGTAAAATATAAGCAGATATATATTTATAGTACCCCATTATTGAGTTGGTCTAGCTGCAAGACTGAAATGTTTATCAAATGTGAGCTAATTTGAACATTATTATTGTATGTTTGGTGCAGTCGTTCACACTAAAGCTATACCCAGCCGAGCTCTCTCTCACTGCTTTGATATGCTTAATGGGTGCATTGGAAGGTGCCGTTGCCACGTTCGTAGTGGAACACAGCATGAGTGTTTGGGTTATCGGATGGGACTCCAGGCTTCTAGCAGCTGCTTACTCTGTGAGGACCATATATCATCATATAATATAACTATTACAAGCTAATTACCAACTTTAATTCCTTGTTGGGATTGTTGCAAAGTTGTATGACAAAATGAATATTGTGAATAGGGGATAGTTTGCTCCGGGATTGCATATTATGTGCAAGGTGTTGTGATGAAGGAACAAGGTCCAGTTTTCGTGACAGCTTTCAGCCCACTGGCCATGATCATCACCGCCGCTCTGGCCGCCATCATTTTAGCTGAGCAAGTGCGCCTCGGAAGGTATGATTATGTATGCTAGCTACAAATTAAATTAACGATATATTTTAACCAATAATTGTCGTTACGTACTCAGGATCTCTTCCAACAAAAAGAACCCCAAACCCTAATGGTGCATGTTATTTTCTTTTGTTATATTGCAGCATACTTGGAACTATTCTCATAGTTATCGGCCTCTATGCTGTTGTTTGGGGTAAAAGCAAAGATCCTACGGCCTCTGCCTTATTGATCAAAGACGGGAAAGCTGTTGCTCTTGAATTGCCAATCACAGACGACAGTAATAGGTCATCAATCACTGTGGGTAACAACACTAAGGATAGTACTATTGGAGCTGCTGGGGACTTCAAGGTTCCAATCAAAGCACAAGAATCGTGAAAACTACTATATATGCCCAAGATTAATACAACAGAGGCTTAATTACAATTTTCAAGATCTTATTAAGTGAGAATATTTGTATTTTGTTTTGTTTTTTTCCTTTTTTCTTTTAGGAAATTTATATAAGGGATAAAACTCGAATTTAAACACCTTGCAACAAATTAAAGGTGAATTTAGTATCAAATCATGCATGCATCCTCATGGAAACAAGTGAGACTTGATCAGAAAAATGTGTACTTTTTGGCTGTACCTTTGAGAATGAGGGAAATATATGTACATCCTACTATGTTTGCGTACATCGTCTCTATTCTCCAATTTCTCTCTCTCTCTCTCTCTCTCTCTCTTTGTCAAATCTTTCTCTCTCTTCAGTTTGTTCATTTGTTTGTCATTTTATCGGGGAATATTGTTTTTCCTTATGAGACCTAAAAAGTCAACCAAGCTAGGTTTGGAATTGCAACAACACATCGTTAAGAAAATTCTTAAGAAGCAACATAGAAAATTTTCAAGATTAATTGGAATTTCAACCTAATGCGAATTCCTAATTAAAGTAAGGTAGTCACTTTTCCCTAACAAACTACAAAAAAAAAAAAAAAATGTGTTATATGGCCTAACTAGAAAAGCGGACATATAACTCAAGACGGAAAAAATTACATAATTTATATGCTCATGGTTTGACATAAAGGTTTCACATGCTTACAAAGAAGCTAATTTTGCTACCGACTCTCTACTTAAACATGGTCAGCTTCCACTACTTGTTGGTCTCAAACCTACCTTCATTAATCATGAAGATTTTTTGCTAACTTTAAGATTGCGATTTTTTTATTTTATGTAATTTAACTTTAACGTCGAATTATGCAAAAGACTTATAATCACTACTACAATAAACACTTTGCGCGACGAGAGAGTATTTGTCTCGCAAAGCATTTCTTCATCACATAACACCTATGGTGATGCAAAAATCGTCGCCCAGATTTGTCGAGCAAAGGTCATGAATAAAGATCATGCGCGACGAAGAGACCAGATTCGTCGTGCGGAAAAAATATTGTGTGATGTTTTACTACTCGTCGCAAGAAATGTTTACGGATGAAGGCTTTCGTTGCACTATATAAGAGGATACAAGTGGGCCTTGTGACGAGAAATTTCTAGGAACGTCTCTTTTTTGTCTCTAAACTATTTGCCCGACCGATGAAGCAAAATTTTGAATTAATTTAATAACATACATATTGTCGCCTTAATGTTTGCGCGATGAAACAATTATGACGCACGTAATTTTGCACGGCAACTTAACTTCATCGCACAAGTGTAATTTTTAATTAAAAATAAAAATAAAAATAAAAATAGAATAAATAGAATTTAATTAAAATATATATATTTAATACAATTGGAAAAAAAATAATAATAATAGAAAAATAATTTATTTACAATATAAATAAAAATGTACATACAATTACAAAGTTTAAAAAGAAAGCGGGAAAAAAAACTATGAAAAAATTGTGGCGTAATCTATAGCCAAGTCGTTCGTAGGTGCTTGGTAATCTTGCAGCTGGAAGGGGTTGGGGTTGGGGACGGGCTCGGGGTTGGGGACGGGCTCGGAGGTCGACGGGTTTGATTGCTAGGTATGCTTGGGTTGGAGGGGCTCTGACGTCTATGGTGCAGAAAAATCGCCGAGACAGATCCGGAAGAATTGAGGACATGTACAACCAATGACATCTGAGTCTTGTACAATGCGAGCTCCTTCCTCAGGGCAACGACTTCTTGCGTCAAAGTCATAACCTCGCTCTTCCACAGTTACGATGAAGAGGCTCCACTCTCCCGCCACCTGGTATTCCCCATCCCCCCGACAATGTCCCTCATCTCTAACTAAAAGTCTGGTCCAAGGTCTCTGTAAGGATGTGAAACCCCACATCCTAAGGGGGATCCATATACTCGATCAGTGTGTCCGGGGGAAGCTGGGAGGCGGACTCCTGAATGACTAACTGGCACTTCTCCACCATAGTCACTTGTGAAATAAAATATGGAATATTAATAGCAAACAATTGGAATTAATTATTATAATACTTTAATGCATAAGACATTAATTACATGAAGGGACTCGGTCAACTCATCTCAGGTCGAACATAAACGTCAGTAAAGACGTCAATATTAGTGACATTTTAAATTTGGAAGTGAAAGCTTTAATATATACCTTCCGCCGCACCTCTATTCTATATGAGAAAGGCCTCAAACCCAAATGGTGGAGAAAAGTATTCTTCTCCCAATTGATCTTGTTTGCCGTCGCCTACTTTTGTTATACACAAATTAAATGTATTAGTTGTAATATTTAAAGATAATATAAATAAAAAAAGTAATAAACATTAGTTAAAATTAAAAAGTAAAATGAAAGAAGTCCTATATTTAAAAATGGACCACATAGGCTGGCTCCTAAAAATGACAGCAGAGCCAAACCTAACTATCTTTTCGGTCCTCGAACTCCTTCGGGCAAGCCTCCTCGAGAGCGACCTATGGATCATCAAACATCTTGAAATATTGATGCAAGTCACTCTTCCATTGCTTGTACCATTGGAGAAAAGCCAATTGAGGTATGCCAACATGTGCTCATTGATGATATCAAAATTGTAGTTTGTCTGCAATGTAACAAATATTACAAAAATATTACTAATTAAATACATTAATAAATAATTAAATATATATATATATATAATTTTATATGAAAACCATTAAAAAGGCAAGGATACTTACCGACAAATAATTACGCATCGTGTTCTTAACCTCTTCCGGCATCGCCTTCCAAGACTTCAACCGTATAGGGCAAAAGGTCCAAATTACATGCTCAATATCATGGGCCAATGCGCTATGCTACTTTGCCATTGGTTCAGCCCGATGTCGTTCATCTAATTATGATACGACTGTTGGTCACCCGGGTGACCTTCACCGGCTTCAATTGGCAACAAGGTCCCCGGGTGTTTTTTTTGGTTGCAAACAAATGAAAAATTAACGTTAAACCAAAACTAATAACAAATGCTACCAAAATTTCTGCAGAACCTCTCTAAAATTAAAACATTTCCCAAACCTTGAAAATAAAATAAACAATATATGTATCCAACAAAATGATCACAACAGTTTAATAATGGGTTGGGAACAATGTCAACAATAAACAATATGCTATAAATATATATATATATATATATATAAACTTTTTAATCCTTAAATGACATAACTTAACAAAACTAAGTTAACATAGGAATGAGGGAGTTTATTAGGATATTATACCTGGCTGTGAACCTGAGGCATCGGTTGTGGATCTCAACGACGACATCTGCCCCAGAGTGCGGGGGCGTTGGTGAGCACGCTCGGTGTTAACAGGTAATGCCACCGAAGAAGTCGAAGATGCCGGTGCATGTCAGACTCGAGGACCAACTGGGTCAACTGGACTCACCAGCCTATGGTCCATCTTTGCCGGAGCAGTGACAGGCAGTAGTAGGAGGTGTAGTTGTCGGACGAGGTGTAGTCGTCATCACCTTTCGACTTCTAATGAGCTGTGACATCTACAAAATTGGAAATAAATTTTTAGATTACAAAGATAAAATTATCGTACACATGCATAATAATTTCTACTTAAATTTAAAATGAATAAACCATTACAACCCTAAATCTAACTCACTGTCCTAATTCTAAAATCATATTTAAGAACCCTAATTCTAACCCTAATTCAAAATCAACTAACCCCTAACTTAAGAACCCTAAATATAACCTTGTAAATTAAGCATCCTAAATCTAACCCCACTGCCCTAATTCTAACCCTTTACTTAAAATTAAAAAACCCCCAAATTTAAGAACCCTTATTCTAACCCCTAATTTAAGAACCCTAATTCTAATCCCAAATGTAAGAACCCTAATTGTAACCCCTAATTTAAAATCAACTAACCCTTACTTAATAACCTTAAATCTAACCCCATAAATTAAGCACCTTAAATCTAACCCCACAACCCTAATTATAACCCTTTACTTCAAATTAAAAAACTGCCAAATTTAGAACCCTTATTCTAACCCCTAATTTAGGAACCCTAATTCTAACCCACTGCCCAATTCTAACTCCAAATTTAACAACCCTAATTGTAACCCCTAATTTAAAATCAACTAACCACTAACTTAAGAACCCTTATTCTAGCCCCTAATTCTAACCCACTGCCAAATTCTAACCCCATATTTAAGAACCCTAATTGTAACCCCTAATTTAAAATCAACTAACCCCTAACTTAAGAACCCTAAATCTAACCTCGTAAATCTAATTCGCGACCATGAATGAAAAAACCTCCATTCCTTGTTACGAACAACTTAGGGTTTAAGTATAAGCTCATAAAGAAAATAAAATAATAAAGGTCCAATTCAAATTCCAATTTTTCAATTCAGATACCAGTTTTTCAAAGAAAAATTCATTCTTACATAGGGGTGTGTCACACCCCAACCGAAGTCGAGGTATCATCCGAAGGTGACGTAACCAAAAGTGTCAATGATGTAAAAATGTGAATAAATCACAACCGAACTAGAACTTATTTAAACTACTAAAGTGAGTGCACAGTAGTGGGTAGAACCCAAAGAATACAAATGTTCATAGCAGAGATAACACAAGCAGTGCAAACGAAACTAATTAAGTACTTAATACACAATGGTATAAGTTCCTACACTTAACAAGGATATGTCAGAATCGCCAGCTAATCCTCGTATACCACAGAGTAATTCAGCTATTTAGGACCTGGAGGAGTGAAAAACATAAGGGTGAGTGGGCACAAAAATAAAGATTTATAAAATCCATTTATTTTCTGAAGATACAAACCCCTCGCTGTAAAATATGTATAGTTTCCAGAAAATCATACTACGTATTAGTATGAAATCAAATGCATGCCAATAGTAAATCCAGAAGTATGCCATAGTAGAACATCTCAACAGCGATATAAATATAATCATGTGCTCAACAATCTATACTAGCACACAAGTCAGAGTCACCTAATGCGACCTGTATGACTACACCTACTACACCTATTGCTGATCAATCTATACTAGCACATGAGTCAAAGACGTGGAGACTAGTGTTATTTGTTGTCACATGCAAGTCGAATTGCCTATTGCAATCTGTACAATAGGACTAGCACCTACTTGGATCCAAGGCGAGCAGTGTGGTGCTAATGTGAACAACACGTGAAAGACTAGCCTGGCCCTAGGCTGAGCACTAACACCTGGGTGTAGCAATGATGAGCAGACTGCATGAATATAAGCATGCCATAATGATTCAACAATT